ATTAATCGTGCTTTTTTTTTATATTAGAATTAGGAAAATAAATTGAATTGTAAGTCTATGGATAGTCGTGTGAGATAATTAACTCTTGAGATGAAGGAAATTTGGAAGATTATAATAGTAATATGAATATATTAAGTAATTAATACTGAATTGATATCATTACAAGTGACTGGAGTTGAATAATACTTTTATTAATACAGAGACTCTAAAATTATATAATTTGATCGAAATGATATTGATTGAGATTTTTTAAATTTAATATAGATTTCAAATTTCGTTCGTATTGACTTTAAAACGGGAAATTAAGTGATGAAATTTCGTTTCTGCTTTATCTTTTATATTTCAAAGATAGTAGAGACGGGTTTAAAAAGAAAGAGGCGAGGATAAAAATAAAAAGAAAGAATGAAAGAAAGCTTTTTTTTCCTCTTCGTATATGGTCAGCGATCCGAAATTAAATCAGTCGATCGATAGAAAGATGCACAAAGTGGAATAAAAAAACTCAGTCAAACCAAATTAGTAGACAAAAAAAAAAATATCTTAACCTGCAATCTAACAATAAAAATTATCTTAAATAAAACAATTAAATTGCAAAATTATAATTTTATCTTTTGAGCAAAGTTCAAACAACTCAATACTTTAAACAATTTTAAAAATTCAATAGACAAAATTTAACAGACTCAAAAAAAAAAAAACTTTACAATAATACAATTGTATAACATACGCGAAAATATTTTATTATCCTTTCAAAAATCTACTTCTCTATTTAACTTGTCCATTTAACTTTTATAAAAATCTACTCGATCCCTCAATTTAATTATTCCCGCGCGAGCCATCTTAAAACCGTGTTGCTCGAAATGCCGCAACACCATAAATCTGGTCGATCGAAGTTCCAGAGGTGGGACCATGGTGACGCAGGTGCACGAATGTGTGCCACGATTAATTCGCCACCGCGTGCATAATTCGAAGACACACGGCGGCGCGACGACCGATCGAAGATCGAGTTTCAAACGCGAGCAAACCAATACACACGTTGCACTTGCGTAAATTACGGCCGATACAGGGCCGCGAAAGCGACAAAGCAGCCATCCACCTCCATTGCGAACGGTATTCCAAAGCTTTGGCGTTCCCTTCCACGGTTATTAAATTCCTGCTCTACACGATGCAAAATTAACGGAGACGGAATTAACCCCGTAAATTTTTATCCCGAAATAAAACGTGTTTTCCGTGTTTGAAAATTGAATTTTCTTCTTTTTTTTTTCTTTTCCTTTTTCTTTTTTGCTTTTGGTTTGGAATTTGCTTTTCGTCGAGGTCAAAGGGGGCCGAGACGATTTTTCGATGGAATTTTTTGGATGAATGAAGTTTCTTTTTTTTTTTTAATCGCGATGATTAATATTTTAATGGATGATGGAAATTTTATTATTGATTATTGATTATTGTTAATATTCGAGGTTAGGCTTTCGATTGTGTTTGTATATTTGTGTGTTTATAGCTTTGGTGTAATTTTACAAGTGTGGAAAGATAACGTGTAAGTTTGGTGGAATATTTTTTTACGATAAAATTACTGAATATTTGAATAAAATGGATAAATTAATTAGAGGGACGATGCTTCGGATGTTTGATTTTGATTTTGAAATGATGGAGAATATGTGTTTCGATGATAAAAACGATAATGGAGAAATGTGGAAACATTTGATGGAATATTTTTATGATTATTATTATATTATGATTTTGGAAATATTTATCGTATTTGATACGATGGATATCATTTTTTTGATGTTGTTTTTTAAGAGAGATTCGCAAAATGGGTGAAGTGGAAAGTTTAAAATAAATATGATAAATAATATTGTTTTGCGTAGCTTCTTGTTACAATTTGTTGAACGTGATTGAAAGAAAAAAAAAACGTTTAAATAAATGAAAATACATCATGCACGGAATTTATACGGATACAAACTTAATAATTGTTTTATTCACGAAATTGGTGACAATTTTTTCGTTGAAATTTTTATTTTATAACAATCAGGATTGTAGAAATACTCGAATGTTGATAATTGGGAATTGTAACAAATACACATCAAAGATTTAAAAATGAATTTGAAATAGAGCAACTTAATTTTGAGTAATTTTTCAAATTAATTTTAATAGTTATTTTTTTTTTAACTTATTAATTCTTTGAATAATTAATATATAAATTAACATCAATTTCGAATGAATCCAAAATGTCGATCTATTCTCTCAAAATTATTATATCAATTTACCCTCGATCAATTAAACAAAATTCAAAATTATCAAGCAATGATATCACTATTATCATGTTTTCTAAATTATTTTGAACATTTCGAACTAACATATACACATGCATCATTGTCATATCCATATATTTCAATTTACTCATTTCTTTTTTATATCCAATTATATCCTCTCTTCAAAATTAATCAGCAATAATTCATTTGAAAATCTTGAAGCAAATTATCACAATCCCAGAGAACGTTCGAGCATTCATTGCGGTTTCACACCGAGACAGAACAGAGAATCTTCTCCTCTTCGAGGAACCATGAAACGATCTCGTTTACCCTCGCGTGGGCCATTTCGTACAATTTGCGACGAGAGTGGCGCAAATAAAGTTCGAGAGGCCCGCCCGTATAAAGCCTCGTATAGCGAGTGGTTTTATCCGCCGCCATTAAAGTTTGGCCCACAAGGGTCTGTAAATTATCTGGACGGTGATTAAGACGAAGAAGTAAATCGTGTATGACGTATATATACCCTTCCCTATTTCTCTACAAAGATATCTGAAAAATCGATCGACAAGGCTCGAGTGGTCAATTCCTAAGCTGATTTCGAGCAATCTTTTCCTTTTCGAAAATTCTCTTTTCGATTTCGTTTAATGAATTATTAACGAAAAAACGCGTGGAGTTGTCGTCGCACCGCAATGGTAGTGTTGGGTATAACCCACCAACGAGTCGCTCGAACAAATAAATGGAAATAATATATTTTCGATGTTTATTTAATTAGTTTGTGCACAATTCGATATTAACTGTACTTGATATATATATATATATATATATATATATATATATATTGTTTAGATTTATTATATTATATGTTCGAGCATGGTACATACTCAACATTATAAATTTTTCGTTAATATATCTTTTCAATAAAGCAATGAACGAGCGAATTTTCGCAAAGGAAAAATTTACTTGAAATCGAATTTACCCCAGAAATGGAATAATCAATTTAAATTTTGTTGATCGACTTTCAGAACGATCTGTGATAGAGTTCAGCAGGTTTCTGTCTCGATGGACCTAGCCTGACGTCAATATCTAAACCCATCAAGCCAGGCACTAAATGAAATTATTAACCCATTTTGGGAATTCCGCTAATTACAAGGCCTCGTGAACGATCTCTGTACATCATCCACGATCACGTAGTGGTCGGATCGATACCGAAAGTGACGCTACGAACGATTCGATGTTAAAATATTCAATACGATGTTTCGATCCGTGTCAAAGTTTTAAGTACCTCTCCTATCATTTCCCCTAAACCCAATATCACGAATGATTTCGATATTTACCCGTTCGATATTTTAACTTTCATTTCACGATACCGAAAGCAGATACCGATATTCGAATACGAAGAAAGAATTGGTTGCGCCAATAAATTCGTATTTGAATCTTCGTAAAATATCTTCGATAAATATCTTCGAGGTGTGTCGAACAATTTGTCCAGTTCGAATATTTATTTATAGTATTTATATATCGAAATTTATATCGGTATCGATCACGATTATCAACGCGCTATCACGCGAGAGCATTAATTCCGTACACTGTGCGCGATCGAGGATCGTTAATATGGCGACAACGTGTATCGTATATATCCATATAATTGGTAAACTGATTAATGGCGATGATCGAGCGTTAATGGTGTTATGGGTATGATAAGATAGAGGCCGATCGATTTTCCATCGAATCGGAAATGTGAAGATTTGATGCGTGGATGCGAATAAAAAAGTATATTTTTCTAAAAAGATGTTTGCCACAGTTTGATATAGAATTCTCTCGTATCTTTAATGAATGACGTGTATAAAATTGATGGACTAATACAATTCCCTATTTTAATTTAACTTCTTTTGCCGTACGATTTAATTGCGTAATCAGATATCGAAGATATTCGAATTACGATACGGAAAAAGGCAAGAAGTTAAATTCGAGTTAATCGTTTCCTGAATGTTGTTAAAAAAAAGAAATTATCTTCTATTCGATGCACCCCCCACCTGATCCAATATCTTGCCAATAACGACGATGCCAATTTCCGCATTTTGAAGACGGAACTTCTTACGATTTAATTACAATAATTTATGCAATTATTAGACATCGAAGAATTCGAATTATGATTTAATCGTACCATTACTTTTAAGAAAATTACCTCATTCATCCGACCAATATATCCAATAATCTTGCGATTTCGATTCCGAATCGAAGACGGAGAAAAGAACCTCGACCTCGAACCTCTTTCCCCTTAAATTCCACCTCTTACCATACCCATAAGAACACTTGGTTAGAACCACCCTTTACCCTTCACCAAACTCCCTTAAATATCTCCCTCCCCCCTAAAAAACATCCCTTTCAAAAATCCAATTTCTCGACGTAATTAGACCTCGAATTATCTCAAGCGAAAAGCCGAAGAGTCGAATTCTAATCCGCGAGAATCCTTCCAACCGGAAGTCCGCGGAACCACGCCCGAATATAGTCATCCAATCCCCGGATCGGGTTAACGAGCGAATTAACAATTCACGGATGAGGGAGGAGGAAATTGTTGTGCGCGTGGTTTGGATTCGAGCGCAGTTCCAATCCCCCTAATCGCCCTATTTCCTTTCGGTTTTCCCTCGCTTTGTCAAAAGCGAGCATCTCGACGCGCATCATCCACGTCCATCCATAAAAAAAAAGAAGAGAAGAGAGAGAGAGAGAGAGAGAGAAAAGACGTTATTATTATAATCCGTTTTGGCACGTGGATACGTCGATATTTCGATGAACCTTTTGGATTTCCGGTCGGTTGGATTGGACGTTTATCGAGGACCGCGACGATATCGAGAGAGAGAGAGAGAGAGAGGCTATATTCGAATATATGGCGGTCTGCCTCGATGGAAGAGAGATGGTGATGGTGGTTTTCTTTTCCTTTTCCTTTTTCTTCTTTCTCCTCTCTTTCGTTTCTTTAAGGTGACGCGGATCACACGGGTGGTAGCATGGTGTGGTTGTCGTTGATGTCGAGCAACGGACGCCTGTTCTGTTGGACAAAGTCCTGGAAGATCCTGTAGGAGGGCCCGCGTACTAGTTGTTATCGCCTGGACGAACGGAAGTCTGCACTAGGCTATGCCAGAGTGACCACTCCTTCCGGCTCCGGGGACCAACAGTTGTCGGACAGCCAACAACCGACCACCACCGTCACGAAACCGATCAGCAGTGCTAAGAAGATGTATACCTCCGCCTTTCCTAGGGAATCTGTGTAAGGGAGGAAGGGAAAGGGGAGAGAGCGAACGAGTTTTCACACACACAGTTTTCGTTTCGGATGAAAGATTGTGTCTCGATGAATAAGGTGTCAACAAGGTTGCTCGTGAAAGATTATCGTGAAGAGTCGATTTTTGGGGATCGAGATAAATTGGCATGCAAAAATATCGATTGAGGCCTTAACTTTGTGGAGTTGGAAGTAAAATAACTTCATCTTAGAATCATTAGAATCTATGTGTACATTTTTCGTTTCTATGTAAAACTGTTTATAATTTAAATAAACAGTTTAATTTTTGTAGAAACTTTTATGTTTTCGTTTATTTTTACTTAATAGATTGTCTAAAAAGATTCTAGTGATTAAAATGAATACGAAAGTTATACAGGTATTCAAAAATATTAATCGAGACTTATTTATTAAGTTGTAAGTAGAGATACGAATTTAAGTTTAGATGAAGCAAAATATAGATATTTATCTCATTTTGTTTGACTAGAAACATAAATTGCTCGTAACTTGATAAATAAGACTCAAAAGATATCTTTGTAATCTCAATTCTTATATTTGTTTCAGCCTCTACTCGATCGAATCTTCAAAGCTATTTCACGAATATGTTAACACCTTACACATAGAAACGATACCAAATATGGAAAAACATGAATGGAAGCGTGCATGGCATGCCGACATGCTCTTTGTAAAAGAAAACGATCGAGGCACAAGATGTGATTATGTACAAAGTAAGAAAAATGAGAAGAATGACGTGGATAAATTATGGCAGTGGTCACTCGAATTTTCATGTGATGATTTATGGATACTCGTGGAAAGGTTTACGTGGATTTGAACTTACGTGGAAGTTTAGATTAAATTTTAATCGATTTATGAATTGATGAGATTTTCATGTGACAATTTCTCCATTGAATTTTATTTTCTTTCGAATTATTGAGTCATTCTAAAAGTTTCTATATTATCTTATATATGAAAAATTGGATATTAAAATTTGTAACTTTTTCTACGAATTTTTATTTTTTTATCATATTATATTATTAAATGCATATTACGCATACGTTTTATATCTCGTGTTATTTAACGTGTTAGTTTTAAGTAATAAGAATGAATTTTATTTTATTTCTGGCATTTCCTCTGCTTGAAAGAGATTATTGATTTTTGTGGATCATATTCGAATGAGCAAACGAATGAATGGAAAATATAGTAAATACAATATGAAAATTCCATCAATTGAATATTGAATTTCTATCTCGTTCTACATGTTTTTCTTCAATCGATTTACATTTGTGCTGCTCGCTTGAATATTTCTTTGCATTTAAAAATATGAAAAACGTTCTTCGACGGTTTATATTTTTTAGAAACTTAAATTTGCATATTAAATTAAAATGTTTTTGAAATATGTTTGCAAAGATGAAATATCAAAGATTATGGAAATATTTTAAAATGTCCGTATCGAATTGTGAATTATGTTTATCCAATTTTCAGGATGACTTAATAATTCTTAGAAGTTATATTTTATTTTTATCACGAGACTTAAAATCGAAATTATGAAACCTTGTATGTGCAAGGCAAATTTTTTATCCATGACAATGGAAAAAAATTGAAAAACAAATCGAGATCACAATATCTAAAAATCTAATTATAAAACAGAAAGCGATTTCCAATTTAATAAACAACACGCTTCGAAATTGAGAAAAGTCAATAAACAATTTTTTGATGTCCTTTTTTTTTACAATTCGAGAGATTGTGTGAGTGAAACAATACAATTCGATAAACATCGATGACAAATATATTTGTACAGTATTCTGAACAAAAATTCAACACTCAGAAAGCTTTTATCGCGGAAATAAAAACATTTTCAAAAAATTCAATGTTACGAATGACGATTCTATAAATGTTTGCATGTATGCACAATTTGTATTTATGAAATTTTAGTTAAATTCTATTCTATTAAAAAATAGTTAAAAAATTTTTAAAAATTCTTGATTAAATTAATTTAAAAATTTCTTCATATCAGAGATCAATCCAAATATAAAATCTCACAAATAAAAGCACAGCTTTAATGTTTAAATTTAAAAATTACTTTTGACGATTCTCAGATTCTTTCCACGTTCTATTAATGATTCGTCATCTTAAGTGGATGGAAATTTTCAACTTATAATGAAATATTCGTATTCGTCGTTGAAAAACTTAAGGATACATCGACCCATCGAGAAATTTGAAAGTTAAATCAGAATCTAGAGATACGTAAGCGAAAAATACGCGTATTGTTCATTCGTTTCATGAATTTTTCACGTGTTCGTCATTGTACCATCTTCGACGCCAACATCGAACGTTGACACAGAGATTCGAAAAACCGAATCTTTGACTTGATATAATCCTTTTAATCCTCTCGTTTGAATTTTTATCGAATAAAATATGCGACGAATATCGAATAGAAAAAGGAATAGAAATTTCAACGATTTTTTTACGTATCCTCGTTATTGTAAAATTTTTCGAAATCATGGATATGGACGAAATTTGAAATAAACGAGCATAAAATATGTTGGAAGATTTAGTTATTAGTTCAAGAATCGATGTCACGATATATAGATCATGGATAGCTAATTCGAAAGTCGAATTATAAACTCGACAAGTTTTCATAGTAACACGATGAGAAATTGCTTGCTTCGATAAACTACGATACGAAGGTAACACGAACGCGTGAAAGTTATACACGATACTTAACCTATTCGATCTAACATAACGTTTGAAATGGATTTATGATGAATAATTGGTATGTTAATGATTATATAGTGAGTATAGCAAATTTTGTGATACATGCAAAAGTACATGATGAATCAAATGGAAAAATTATTTTGTTTGTGGATAATTTACTTATGTGCAATGGAACAGTATCTATAAATATTTATGAGAAGATTGGATGCAGCAAAAAAGAAAAAAAAAACAAATTAATTTTAGAAGCTGAAAGTAGTCTAAATTAATAATACCTAAATAGATGATTTTCACTAACATGCATTCTATTAATAGACATTCATATAAAATGATTCAAATTAAAGGAAAAATTTCAATATACATTATTCTGAATAAAAAATATATACCAGATAGATTCAATTTCGTTCTTGAATTAAGGAAGATAAAATAAACTATTAAACTATATAAATTTTTTAATTTAAGAAGTAAATCAAAATATAATAGATATAATTCCTATACATGATAATACTCCATCAAAGGCTAAATATTTAAATTCCTCTGTATCTACGTTCATAACAAGAAATATACCATCAAACATATATACTACAATAAAAAGCATAGAAATATCTATTAAATAAATATTAAAAATTTTCATGCACATTTAAAACTTAAATTTCAAGCCATAATATCTAACATTAATAACAACACCCAATCCTTTATAACATCACATGTTTATGCATTCATACTTATTCATCCATATTCTACAAAGCTTACTTAATTTTCCCGCCAAATTTTAAAATAGCCCTATTCCTATTTCCACACCGAAAAGCATAAAAATAAAGGATTTAAAAAAAGAAAAGAAAATACACATTCAAGACACATCAAATTGGCGGAGAAACACGGATCCTTTACCTAGAGGCCCCTTTGACTTCCACAGTCCCTTGATCAGCGTGGGGTCGCCGCGGCGCCAGTCGCGCCACCCTCGGCCCCGACGAGGCAGTCCCGCGGACCAACTTGCGCCACCGCCAGCGGCACCGCCACCAGCCCCGCCACCGGTACTTCCGGTCACACTGAAACCAATCCCACTTCCACCGGCGGCGGCGGTGCCAGAGCCAGAAGCACCGCCGCCAGCGGCGCCGAGAGTGCTCGCGCCACTGCCAGCAGTGCCACCGCCGGGGCCCGGGGTGCTCGGCGATCCAGCCTGCGGCTGTCCATGGCCCCCCGCTCCGCCACCTCCCTGTGGCAACGGCAGTCCCGCCGCTAATATTTTTGTTCATCCGTTCCGAAGCAGCAGCGTGAAAAAGGACATCGAATCGATTGAATTATCATTACGAACGCGATTCACCTTGGCATTGTATCATCGCGTAAGTCGAGGTACGCTGTTTCCGTCGTAGTGTCTCGAATTTTTCTTTGGGGAATTTCTATGAATATGTGACGTCACGCTATCCCTCACTACCACGTTAAATCAGGCAGAGGCACGTCACGTGCCCAGGTTTCCGCCAAAGACAAGCATTGCATCGTGTCACGTGACGTGCATGTGGTCGAGTGGCAGTGGGGATAACGTGATGTCATGGTTTCTCCTTGTCTCCAGAAATTCACCAGAGGGGAATTCAGTTTAGTTAATAACATAGGGCCCGCGTGTGACAACTCTGGTGTAGGGATAAGTTAACACCTTTGCGTCTCGGATATGGAAGAACTTGCTTGAGACAGGTATCGTATGAATAGAAAAAGTGTATGTTTCTTTGACGTAAGTTAAATTATGATATTATATTGTTAGTATGTAATAGTTTTTTGATTCGAGGCAAAGATGTTAAGTAAAGGATTGTGTCATTTATCAAGAATGCATACACCTGACGATTTTAAAATGTTTATTTATATTTGGCAAGTGGGTATGAGTTTAATTTAGTAATAATTTATTTTTCCAAATGGGAGATTTCCAATTATTTAATTATTTTTCAAAAATTGCATTCAAACAATATAATAATATAACATGTTTCAAAATTATTGAAATAGGCAAAAGGATGATACTGCATGGATAGAGAACTTTAATCGGGCACTGACTAAAATTTCAATCCAATGAATGGAGTTCTATTATAATATGCAGTCACATTCATGGCAGAGATTATAGAGTTTTGATTTAATAAAGACAAGTTGTATTCTCGACTAAGTTAATTTAAACTCTAACTTTAGTTTCAATCGTTCAAAGACTAGAGACTGTTACACACAAATTATGTATATCGTTTCGACGAAATTGTACTACCTAAGATGATGAACATTAAATAAGAAATCATAAGACAAAGAGCTAAGTTAATACTTTGTTATATTGTGATAAAAATTATACATTTCAAATCTGAAAATGGAGTGTATATCTCTTTACACATCTTTTAACAATTGTATACATTATGAACAATCAAATTTAAAAAAAAAATAAATTAAAAAAATAAAACTTATCATCATCAAAAAGTTCATAACTTAAATTATGTTAAGTAAGAAAATATTTGATACATTTTTTTCAAATACATTTTACAAAATCATCAGGTGTATATATATATATATTTTAATGAGTTAAAATCAAAGAAGGAAAGTTGTTAATAATAGATAGGATCGTGCTCCTTTAATCACTGCAAGAGCAGTTGATTTCGCTCCCAGGTAAATTTATTCGATAAAGAAAAGTTATGAATTTCCACGCAAGAAGATCGTTATGCTTCATTTGCTATATCGATAAGGACTATAATCCCCGAATAAATTTACCTGGCTCTAGAATCTCTCAGTGCCAGTTTTATTTGCATGCTAAAAAAATGAGAGAAATATCTATTTTGCAGTGTTATAGAAATGAAATTCATTTCACCCGAAACTTTGCACGTTTGTCACTGAAATTTTCATGGCACGCATACCTGTTGATGGTCATACAAAAATATTAATTTTATCGTATCAAAATGGCGAAAAATATCGAAAGAAAAATAACTTGATATTCGTCTATCGAAAATGAAAATCTTTGATGTATATTATACATCAAACGCGATATCGTATTTTCACGAGTTTGTATAGAATATAGAATATTTTTATTAAAATTGCGTTGAAACGTTACTAATACTATTTTATTCTTTCTCGTTTATATTTATTATATTATTATATATTTTTTATGTTGAAATTAAAATAAAAAATTGCATTCTACCAAAATATAAAATTTTTATATAATCGTAAAGAATTTATTAAAGAAAAAAATTAAAGAAAATAAATCATATATGTTTTATTAAAACTCGAAATAAAAAAAATTTGAATTCGATTTTCCTATCTTTCTTTATAACAAAATTTTTACGTTCAATGCATTCTGTAATAATAATTCTGTTCTTCAAATTCCTTATCTCGTGAATGCAGCACAATCGATTACGTAATTAATCCCGGAAGAAAGAACTTTGCTTTGACTTGAATTAAATTTTTCGAAAATAACTTTCTATCTCAAGGAAGTCGATTGTGAACTTTTTACAATATCTAAATATTAAATAGTTGCTAGCAAAAATAACGAAAGAAATAGACATAACCTATTATTAACCTATTTTTAAAGTTAAAATAAAATAGTTCGAAAAATATCTTCGAAAAATAAACTTTGTCAAAAATCGTGATATTTTCTTATTATACGTTAATATCCCATAGAATATTTATACGTTACAATTCATATGTTAAAATTATAGTAATAATGTAATCGTAATCAAGACTTACCGCATATGCAGAAGAATAAAGTACTGGCAAGAAAGATCCACCCCATAACGTCATCAACAAGTTGTTTCTGCGAAACTCATGTTACGCTGAATATCGTCTTTTCTGTCTGTTGATTGAGCTCGACGATGTTCTTTTAATCATTTGAATGATGATTTCTAAAGAAAAAAGATATTTCATTTAGATTAAAAATCCTAATCGAACGTTCAAAATGACAGAATAATGGCGTCCATCAAAGACGAGAAGATAAAACAAACGGAAATTTCATTATGGATATATTTTTAGAAAAAATACCTTTGATCGTATGATTCGTTAGAACTGTATTCCTGATTAATTTGAGTGCACAAATTCCACAAAGATATTTAATCACTACGAACTAATTTAAATGGAAATACTATTTGAAAGGATTCGATTCCGCGGCAATCCAGTTCAATTACGCAACTTCTTACTCTATGGCTTCCCGCCTAAATCGAGTATCGAAGTTTACCTAGTTGAAAAGCGCACTCTGTCGATGAAAAAAATAAACAGAGATTATAATTTCATTGGAAACGCCCAATAATAAATATAAAATATTATTTTTTTAAACAATAAAATTCATCAGATTGTATATATTTTCATGATTTTTATTAATTATTATTTAAAATTTTTGTTTTAAAATTTAAATTATAAAATGTATTATACGAGATTTATATATCGACTGATCGATCACAACGCCACTTCAAATGCGTGGTTAAATAAGTCTTTAAAACCTGTTGATGATCCTGTGATTGTTTGTAACAATGGTGAAATGTGAGTGCAAAATTTAATATAATTTCCGCGTTTATATGATGTTTTAGAAAGTGAATTTAATTGAATTATAATAAATATTCGCAATGTGACATTCATAATAAAGTGAAGAACAATGGAGCAAGTGTTTTCTGTTGCTGACAAACTGTCAAAAGTGATCAGAAATATGCAAAAATGTTTACAATGCACAATTTGGTAAGATATAATTAATGTACAAAGATTTATAAAATATATATAATAAAATATAAATTTAAAACATGACTCTCATCAATTTATATTGAAATATAATTTATCTTGAAAAGTTATGAGTATAGGTTAAGTTTGAATGATCATATTTATTTTATTCATTTTCAAATGAAATACATATATTTATTTACTTTATTAATTTTATAAATCATATTTCTTATTTTTATTTATATCATACATATTTTTCTATTAATTATATAAATTAAAAACTTTAACTTAAACATTATAAGAATTTTGAATTAATTTATTACTTTTAAATTTACTTCAATTTCTAATTATTATTGATCTTTTATCATGTGTATAGCAATACATATATAGTATACTTTTGTTATATCACCAATGAAAAGTTATAATTAATAAATAAATAAAATCAATATAAATGATCAATAAATGAAATAAAATGATTATGCATTTTGTTCGTATTTCTCTTATAATGTTATAGATCGTATTATATGTTCGAATATGAATACCAATGTCAAATCTTTTATTTTTATATTAAAATGAAATATCATATAAAATTTAGTTTCTCATCAGAAAGATAAAATAATATATGTCACTCATTAAATTATAACCAATTTATAATTGTGTTATAATATACAGGATATTTTAGTAGAGATATGCTGTAATGGTTAGAGATAGATAAAAATTATATAAAATAAAATTAAATAATATTAAATGATATATAAACTGGATAGATTTCAATCTTTTTTTTTTTATTTAATGAAATCCTGTAATTTTTTAATTTTTTAATTTTTGCATTTGATTGATTTTATTTTTTAATGTCTAATAATAAAAATAATTTACACTTTAAATATAAAAATTCAAAAGTTATTACAAACTTTGTTAAATTATCTAGAACGTATCTGTATATTTTCTTTAAGATTCTTGCATTTCTGTTATATATTATTTCAAATTATATATTATAATATATATAAATAAATCCAGTTAATATCAATCAGTATAAGATTTATTTTGTTATTGATAATTATTTAGCGTTTAATATTTAACAAATAATATTTGAAATCTGTTTATGTAATAATATGTAATGTATAATCTGTTTATTCTTTTTTTTTTTTTTATGTATTTTAGTCTACAAACAATATCAGATCCGGTAAAAACATTTTGCGGACATCGATTCTGTCGTGTATGTATTCAAACAGTGATACAAAATAAAAATGCGCTCTGTCCACTGTGTAATTGTGCCATACAGCGTCGCAATATTTCAAAAGATGAGAACATGGCGCTATATATCAAACAATTACAGAATATAATTGAAGCAATTCAGTTAGATTCAGGCATCGATAGTAAGTAAAATTACGCTTTATTAATAAAATAAGCATTTGATAAATGTTATCAGATATCTTCTATAAAGTATTAGATTTCTATTAGTATATTAGATTTCATGTTATCATGAACATTTTATAGAAAATTTTATATGTGTGTTTTTAAATATATGAAAAAAAAAATGTAATTAAATTAAAAATATTTATCTTGACAAATACTATAGATATAAATTGATGATTGTGAAATTAAAAATAAGTATATTTTCATATTTTCATTTTCATATGAATGATTCATTCCTATGATTCATTCCGATCATTGTACATATGAAATAACATTTATACAAGAATATTGCATCCAATATTTGTATAATTGTATATTTTAAAAATTTTTTTATGCAAAATTCTTATATCATAAATACAAATGAAATTCGTAGCAGAGATATTAATATAATTTTTTAAATATATTTTTTTTCATTGTAAAAAATTCTTGTACATTAAAAAAGGTATCAGTTTTTTTCCATAAAACTTTTTCTGCGTATATAATATACATAATATAAAATGCAGCGTTTGACTTGAAATTCACATATTTCTGTATCTTTATATTTTTTGCTGATTTGTATTATATATAAATGACTCACTACATCATCATGCCATTATGAATACCATTATGAATTTGTCTATTTATAGAATTTACATATTAATTCTTAAAAATATTTTATAGTTGAAAATGATTTCATCGCATTAAAAATAATTACATTAAAAATACAAAATAATCTCGTGTTTTCATTTCTTTTATAATATAAATTATGGATTATAGAAAATCAAATATAATATTTTCTCCGATTGTTGAAAATTGTTCGATGAAATTAAAATCGGTGTAGGTTTCGAAAAACTTGGAAGCAGGAAGAAATATCGGGGAGAGGCAATAAATATCTCAGCATGAAGCAATATGTTTAAAAGGAACTAACGTATATTCGCGATAAACTTTTTCTCTACATCTTAAGAAAAACATGATTTTTAAAGTACATGTACCGGTACATGCTGCCACAACATCATGCTCACTCGGGGTCAACTATCCGTTTCTAGCGTAGATACCAAAGATTTTAAAAATTTAAATCCCAATGTTCTTCGGCATCGTATCTCTTCTCCGTGCTATTCAAAACTTCAATGTTTTACGAGCATTTTATGTTTACGTTCTTGCATACGATTGAACGAAATTTACGAACGAGTTTCATTGCTTTGACATTTTATCTAAATTTTATTTTATTTTTTTTTCTTCTTTTTTTTTTTTTTTTTTTTTTTTGTATTTAACTTTTACATCATTCAATCTTCGACTCAATCAAGATGATTTATTAATTAAATCAGGAATAATTAGAGTTTTTAAAAATTCAAAGATCATATATCTTTGAATGTGAACATATATTCTTTTTTCCTCTATTTTTTATAATATAAAAAAAAAAATCATGTTCGAAATTGCGTGAATTCTTCTACAGAAAAGACGTAACTATTTAAAAATTATTCGACCAAGTTCAATTAGATAGTACGCGCGTTTACATGTAAATTAACATCTTTTTTCACTGGTAAATTGGAATGGTCTTCCGTTTCGCGAGACACGGGTCAATTTTCAAATGTTCTTTGCTGTGGCACACTCTCAAGTCTGACTTTTCCCAGATGCATTCTCGTGCTTACATTCTCCGCTACATAGACGCACAAATACACGTGCTTGAGTTTCCGTAAAGCCAAACAAACCCCCTTGAAACTAACTATGGACTTTGCTGGTTGGAAAGAGATTCCAAGAGACATATACATATACAGCTATGTTTTAAATATACAAAGCTGGTAAATTAATTCTTGAAATTTTCTCTAATTTCGCAGATAAATTTTCAGAGGAAAATACTTTGATGAAAATTTAAAACACTCTATTTGACGCTTTATTATAAATTTCGTTCCTGTCTCAGGATTATAATTAAAATTCAGCGGTTTCTTTCTAAAATTCTTTGATTGAAATTTAATAAAAATTCGTTAAAAAAAAATTTCATCTCTGTGTTAAAAATTAGCACCGTCGTGATAAAAGACATAAAGATATGAAACATCCACTTTAATAAAAATTCAAAACATCCCACTCTTTACTTTGCATAAATTTTTATCGTCGCATAATTTTATACGTTTCAATTTTTATTAAAAAAAAAAAAAAAAAAAAAGATATCTTACTTGAACTTGAAATTCACAGCACTACTTCGCATTCTAATAAAACTTTTATTACAATCTTTTGCTTCACAACCATTGAACGACATCGATCCTCTCTCCGTTTCGAGATATCAATATAAATATACTTTAAATTCAACCTATCTTTTTTTTCAGTAGTGACTCATTTATCAGTATTAAACACGTGCGAGACCTCATCGAACAACACAGAGTTCTGTTCCAAATCCAACACCGAGGATGTGACAAAACCAAGCTGCTCTTACACGAACGAGACTCGTCAAAAGATACAACCAGCCGGCAACAATAATGGAAAAGGCAGAAGCAAAAAGGGGCGAAGAAAGTCCACGCAGAAGAAGAAAATCATGGTTAAGGAAAGCAACAGCATGACGAGATACTTGTCGAAATGCGGCCTCTCCGGCATAGAACCGTTGGAGGCGTCGAACGAGAATTACTCGGGCGAGAAATCGTTAAAGGATAAAGTGTGCAGCTGGCTGGATACTTTGCCGGGGAACGAGAATTTGGTCGATTTTGACGTAGTCACAAAAGTGGAGCACGTGGATTCCGATCTGGACGATACACTGACCATGTCGGTTTCCGATGCCCAGAGCAACAGGATAAGAGACACGAACGTGGATGCCGAGCTCGTCCTCGAACCATCGATGTGCAATAAAAGTGATACCAATCGATCGACGTGCAAAGAGATTCCGGAGAGTTTCTCGAACAAGAACGAGAGCAACGAGAATGATAAAAAGTCTAGAATAAACGTGGGAAATTACTCGTCGAAGACGGGCTTCCAGCCAGACGATACCAAGTCTAAAACTGTTAAATCGAGCGAGGATGACAAGGGGAAGAGCGAGGAAAAATTCATCGAGGTCCAGAGAACGTCTCCTTGCGACATGTTGTCCGCTATGCAGAGGAACTGGTCCTCGGTGGCCAAGTTCGGCAAGGAGATGCGCGCAAAGAGGAAGAGATTGAAGTCTTTGGACGTGAGTATCGAGAACAGAGGGAAACGTCGATCGATGGACGAGGCGGGCGAGGTGGACGAAGAGAAGGTCGGATCGTTCGGTCGGACAGGAGGGGCGAGCGACAGGCGAGGAGGGAGTAAGTGCGAAAAATCGAATGAGGATGGAAATGTTGACGGGGCTATCGTGGATGAGGAATTCCTCGAATGCGAGAAAAGTTTGGGAACTCGTCGCGATGAGAGAGAGGACAGAGAAAGATCGATATCGGCGGAAGTTCAGCCGTCCGGCGAATCGTCCTTCGTCACGTTGGAGAAGGATGGCAAGATACGCATCCGGAATTTGAACAGCTGTCAGATGAAAGCGATCATCGGTGTCTCGGATGAGAATCGTCGAATTGAGGAGGACAACAGAGAGGAGGAGGGAGAAGAGGAAACGGAGAGACAGATGGAGGTGTTCAACACGCCTATTCACGATCGTTCAAAGATATTTTCCCAAATGACACCGGAAGGATCACACGATGACCAAGATCGAGCGAATCTGGTTGACGAATCGGTTAACGAGCGAAGCTTACCGACAAAAGGCCGAATGGACGAGGAACATCGTTCCACGCCGTCGAAATATCAAATCTCCACGCCTAGCCGTAAGAGGTTGTCGTTGAGAAGACAGAGCGAGGATTCGAAATCGAATAACACCTCGAACTCGGACGTTGGCTCGCGATTGAACGCCGTCAGGCGAGACTTGAATCGTCAGATTGACAAAGAAGAAGGAAATGTTGATGTAGGTAAGGGGAACGTGGACGGAATAATCGGAACAGGGAAACGTAAAACCACGGGTGATGAACGAGAGAGAAATTTAACATCGAATGATTACGCGGGCAGAAGGGTGGGGGATAAGAAGCGTAATGCGTCCCTGGTCACGTTTAAGAAGCTGGGGAAATTTTACAAACGAGGCAACGAGGGGAGGATAAAGAAACGCGTCCCGTTCTTTTATTTGAGCGCAACCGGGAAGGAAACGAGTTATTATCCCGGTTTGCACACGCATAAATCGTGTAATTTCGTTGCCATGTGTAACGTGAAGCTTGAAGAAGGGATTGACAAGAGTGGAACAAGTATAGTATCGATAACAGATAATAGCAGCAACGTTAAAAATGTCGAAGCCGCGAAGGAACCGATAAAATCGAAGGTGAAAGTGGAGCATCAAATTGTATCCGAAAACCAGGAAGATGTGGCTGCCGGACGAATTTCGTGCGAGGAAATTATGCCTCGTCCAATCGGCAACGCGAATAAATCTTACGACGTGGACGTGCTCTTGATATCCTCGGACGATGAACCATCGATCACGCCTCCAATTCCTAAAACCGATTCGTCGTGCAAGGACACAGTGAAAATATCATCGCCGTCGTCGAAAGATCGTTCCCTGCCACGATTCCTCTCTTCGTCCCCTCCGATAGACACTCTTCAAACCCAAAAACTGAACGATCCCGAGCCCGAACCAGCGAGGAGCAAAGGAAAGAAACCGCACTCTTTCGCGTGTATTTCGCCGCAATGCAATTCCTGTTGCGCGCCGATCGCGAAATGTTCGAGCGGGAATCAGAGGGCACTTTTCCACGAGGGGACGAAAAAAAATTCGGAGAACGAGGGCGAGAATGATGATTCGAATCACAGTCTGTCGTCCCAGACCACGTGTATCAGAACTACGACGCCCGAGGTGAAAAATTTATCGAGGAAAAGTAATTTGAACGAGAAGAAACGATCGCCGAATCCGAGCAGCAGGGAAACCGAGGTTATTCAAACAGGGCAGAATTCGGATCAGGACGCGGCGAAAACTTGCAAGAAGGAGATACGAGAAAAGGTGTACAACAGGATCGTGTTGTTGGATAGTTCGGAATCCGAATCTATGGACTTCGTTCTCTTGGAGGACGGTAACGATCGTTCTGATGCTTCTCCGAAAACCGAAAAGAGAAAACGTACCGCCTCCTTCGATTCGGTCGACGAAACAGACTTGAACGCGATTGTGAGCAATTGGTGCAACGATGGAATTCTCGACGAGAGGTGTAAGAAGAAAGGGAAATTGGAACGAGTTCGCGATACTCTTGATTCGAGCACGTCTAGGGACAATTTTTCCACGAAATCTTTGGGTAATTATTTAGAAAGAGGGCTTCCTCCCTAATTTCTGACAATTTTTCGATATACCGTTGTCCTGTCCAAGATTTCGAACCGAATTCTTCTTCGAACGCGTATAATCGTTCCTCTTTTTTTCCAAATATAATCTTGAAAATTCGAGCGACGATTATATGCCTAGGGAAAAAGTCGATCTCCACGAATAAACATCGAAAAATCGTGGAAATCGGGGAGGAAGCCTCGTTTCTAAACAATTATCGATCTTCTTCTCTTCTTGGATCGCGATAAATCGGTGAACAAGCCGTCCACGCACCAACAAAAACAATGTTTTCAGACCTGGTGGTTGGCAAATTTGGAAAGGAGAAATCGAATTCCAATTGGACGAAGAACTTGGAGGACAGGATGGCGCCAGTTGTCGACGAGGATTCCCCTGATTTTTGCGCGGTAATAGACAAAGTGCAGAATGTACGGAAGGGAACGATGATATTTAAGGAGAACCAACAACGAGAGAACGCGAAGACCGCGGACAATTTGATGCATGATAACTTCGACGATATCATTGCGAATGTGAACACAGCAGATCTGATCACCGATTCTGATGATGGAAAGGGGAACAAATCTAGAAGGGAAGAATATACGGAGGGAAAGAATGATTGTGAGAGAAAATCTAAACACGTAAAATCGTATAGCGAAAAAATTCGATCATGGAACAAGGAAATTCCACATAAATATTCCAACGGTTCTGATAAAGAAAACAGGAACAAAATGGACGTGTCTGGGAGTGACAATGGTGATGATGAAGATCTAGTATGTGTAAATGTGAGTAATAAGAATTGGAGGAGGGATAGATTTCAGGAAGAAATGAGAGTCGAATCGTGTAGTAAAGAATCGAGAACATTGATAGAGAATCCAATGTCTTCGTCTGATAAGAAATTCCAAATGAATAACAGTGCGAATAGTTCGATAGTTAAAGATATGCACGATTATGATTCTTTGATGGCCATCACGCAAGATGATTTGATGATTAAACAATTCGAGGAAGATCTGTTTGGTAAACCTTCTAAGCATTCTAATGATACTTTAAATAAGGAACAGAGAACTCCAAAAAGTCTAAAGAAGAATAAAGAATATTCAAGACAGAATGAAAAGGTTAGTTTGCAAACATTTTTTGTTAATTTTATATTAGATGTAAAATATTTAATTTGTGATAGAACATTATTATTCTAGAGTTACTATGATGTAACATTAAAATTAAAAACATTTAAAAATTATTTGCATAAAAGATGTTAATAAAGAATTATGATTCAATAAATAAAATTTAAAAAGATTTTCTGCAAACGAGATAAAGTTTTCTCTGTAAATTGTAGAAAAAAACCTAAAAAATCGGTATGGAAACTATTCAAAGTTTTATGAGATCTTTCTTTGCGTTGTAACAATGTCTCTGTCTAGTGAACTTTTTCTGTGAATTTTCTTAAATAACTCTCTTAACCCTTCCTCGACTCGGTAACTTTGCTTTTAAATAATTCAAAATGTTTAGAAAAATTTTTCACTTAATATCATATCTGTTGTGTTTCCAACCGATAACTTATCATACGTCGTCACTATTCATTCCGCCAATTACGAGATAAATAAGATTCTGCATTCTCAAAAACTCATTCCGCTTTAGAATATCCAGGACGTTGAACACTCGGATGAAGAAGACGACATTGTTGAGAACACTCCTAAAGCAAAGAGGAAAAAGTAAGTAACGGGAGTCTCTCGTAACGTCTATTCTTCTTTAACTTCTTTAAGTTTTGAGAGGCACATTATTCATTTAATTAAGTTCATTAATCAAAATGTAAACACGCGTTTTTTATTTCTTACCAAATCTCGTCAAAAATTTAAACAAATTTTCTTTAATTACTGGAAGATTATTATATTATATATTATTATATATTATTGTCAATTCCAAATTTCCTTTAAAGAGATCTTTAATTAGAATATTAAACGATTTTAAATTCTCATAAATGTTCACTGAATAAATTTTTCTATAAAATATCATTTCACCCAATGAAACTCTTTTTCTTTATCACCTTCCTTCCTTCTTTATCATTTTCTAGATTAGAAGCAATAAATTCGCCGAGGGAGAGTTTGCCATCGATCTCGAAGACCATCGAAAAGTCAGCCTACGTCAGAACACCATCATCGATCATGACCATTGGAAGCAACCTGGCTAGCACTCCAGGCTCGACGACCAATATCCAACCACTCCATCAAAGCACCCCTAAAACGCAGCAATTCAAAAATATAATCGGTATCGCAAAGCGAATTTCTGTCATGAACGAACAGTCCAACAAACAGAACATTGTTCAGAGAATCGGTAGTCAGAAGAGTGCTTCTCAGAGAAGCAACGTTCAGAATATCGTTCAAAAAGGTATCGAGCAGAGGATCAATATCCAGAGAAGCGATCTTCAAAACACTATTCAAAGGAGCGATCAGAGGAACAGTGACCAAGAAAGTAACGTTCAAAACACTAGTCAAAGGAACAAGGATCAAAGAGGCATCGATCAGAGAAGCATTGTTCAAAACGAAATCGTTGAAAGGAACAATATTTCCTCTCAGAAGACAATTGTTCGGAATACGCAGAAACTCTGTTTCGTATGCAGCGGTCTGGTATCGTCCGAAACAGAGCAAGTGAAGATGTTGACGCAAAAAGTGAACGCGAAATACAGAACGCAATTTGATCACGAGGTGACACACGTGATAGTGAAAACGGACAAAGACAATAGCGCTAACAAGACACTGAAATATCTGCAGGGAGTAGCCCATAAAAAATGGATCGTGGGCTTCGATTGGGTGATCAATTCGTTGAAAGAGAATAGGTTGGTGAACGAGGAACCGTACGAGGTTGTAGACTCCAGAACTCTCGAGGCTGGCCCTCGAAGGTCACGGCTCAGGGAGGAGGATCTATTCACCGGATTCGTGTTTTTCTGCAATGGACCTTATGATAATGTTTCCGTAGAACAATATCAGGTAAGTGAATTCTTGGAAGATATTTTACAATGATCTTTTCATAGTGTGACAGATTTACAAGGATTTTAAATTGTTTTATTTAATCGTTAATTTTTTATTTGAATTGGAATTTTTTTAAAATTGAGATGATTGAAATAAAGAATTAAATTTTAATTAAATGTAATATGCTTGAGGAATTTTAATTTTAACTCGAGTTCAAACCTGTATTTCGTCACGTAGAATACACTTAAAAATAGAATGCTATTAATTTAATTCTAAAATTGAATATCTAGTGTAATAAAACTGTGACTAGTGTAGGTCTGTGACCCAATAACATCAATCAAAGATTAAAATTAAATATTCTAAAATTAGATAATCTAATTTAAATTTAATCCAAACATGTTTGCTTTTAATTCAATAATAGAATTAGATTATAAAATTCAATCATTTGGTATATCCTTCACATTCAATATTATAATATTAAAAAATATAAAAAAGATAAAACTTTTACTTCCAATTCGAAGCAAAACACCTTTGGATCAAATTTTATCTTACTACTTTTGAACAACTCGCGAAACTCTGATCTGATAAAAAACGCTTTTATTTATGTTGTCTCCGCCATCCAATCTTGCTATATTACTTCAACTTGAATACCAGCCAAGTTTTAGAGATATCTTCTCTTTTCAGGACATGTTACGCGCTACTGGTGCCATTGTGGTCCAGTCTCTATCCGCTCTAGCCGCTGAAAAAAGTCGGTTGAGGATCATCATGATCCAGGCCGATATGTATGAGTACGAAATTATAAGTAAGTTATTCTTTAAATTGCTCATAATTACAATTAAAAAAAATAAACAATAAACGAGGAATTATTTCAATGATTAAAAATATTATTTTCATATTAAATTGAAAGTTACTAAAAATTGTTAATTATTCTTTTTATTCTTGAATTAATTAACGCTCATAAATATTTGCCTATTATTAGATGAATAGGCTATTATCATCGAAGGACATTTTAAAACATTTTGATCATCTTATCTTTAAAAGTATTGGGAATGATCACGATTATTAACAGAGATTTTATGCTCTATGTTTATATTAGATATTAGATATCAATTTCTCTTAAATTTATTTCACGATTTATCCATTCAGAATTTTTTTTTAAATAAATAAATTACATCAAATCATATAGTAAGTTAAATCTTTCATTGAATATTTTATTATTATTTTTTGTTAAAAATTTTTCATTTTTATTTACCATTTTTATTTATATTTGAATAATTTTTGAAAAAGATTAGATCAAATAATATTATTCTTCATCATAAAACTTTTTCAACATTTCTCTAAATAGTATAGTATAATTTTATAATAATGATTTAAAATTTTTGTTTTTCTTTTTTTTCTTTCTTTCTTTCTCATAGAATGGTATAGAATGGTTCATGCCATATCAATCGTCCACGAATGGGTAGTCGAGTGTATCAGTCAATACAAACTGATATCATTCTATCCATATCTACAGGAATTATCGCGACAAGATGTACTCGCACTTGGTTATCCAGAATATCTTCTCGAAGAAGAGGTTGACGAGGACTCTGATAACTCATGTGATGTGTCAATGTGATATTCGAATCAGGTTCATTTAATTTTAATGTAATTTCACGCTGATTCTTATCTGCTTTCGTGTCCAATTTACATCAGTGCCAAATCTTTCTAATCAAAATGTACGTATAATTTAGTTTAGAATTTGTATTTTCTTTCTATTTAGAGACTCGTGTATTGAGAAAGTATCGGTAACAAATGGAGTATTTAATTTTAGAGAAAGATTATTTGTTACAGTGTGGTTAAAACGTGAACTGATTTGAATATAAAAATTTATTTACAGTTTTTTATGAAGTTGTGAATAACATAGACAGTATTGTTTCGCCAGTATCAATATTTTTATTATTTATTATCTATTGATAACGATAGTTATGAAGTAGTCTTTGTTGTAATTTTTGATTAGAAAGTAAGTACTGATATCTGATTTTATTTTAGAGCCACAAGATATGATAAAACAAATATTTAACAGATATTCATTAGTTTATTAAATTAATAATTATTTTCACATTTTCATCCATCAATAATTCCATCAATAGTATTTTTAATTATACAACAGCTTAGAGATTGTCCATATAATACTTATAAACTTATTAACTTATATAAATATACAAATAAAAATTCAGGTTTATACCAAAAAAGAACTTAAGAAAAAATACTATCTAATCTCTTAGATTTTTATTTTTTTATATAATATAAAACTTTTTTCATCATGTTAATTAATAATATCAATCTAAATTTCAATTAAGTTACATTCTAATATATATCCATAAAATCTCCATAATATCTTTCCATCTTCAGTCTTCAAATGATAATACGCAATAAGTTCACGCTTTATCCACAACGTAAAAACATTGAATGTACATAAATATAATTCTTCTTTCCACTTACACTCCCTCGCACAATACTTATCATCAGAAATGCTCGAGTCTAAAATTTTCTAATTATCACCAATCCCACAATATCCAGCAAGAACCAATGGATACATATATCTAAGACGAGATGGTGCTTAGAACGTGCAATATCATGATCATGGGTGGATTTCAGGGGCTGCGTATCGCGAGGGGCATTCAGGCCACTCACGTATTCACAAATACATCTGAACAATATTGATTTGCCCGGGACCACCTGTAGCCAACTCTCGTCCAATGTTCTGATACATACATGCATACACACACCATGTCAGTGGTTATGAATCTCGTCTAATTGCGAGTAGAAATAATCATTGTGTCGGTTGTGCTCTCTCTCTCTCTCTCTCTCTCTCTCTCTCTCTCTCTCTCTCTCTCTCTCTCTCTCTCTCTCTCTCTCTTTGTGCACTTTAAGTACCTTAATCGCATCTTTGTGAGAGTAGAAAGTTAATTGTTGCGACAGACATCGATTGTATTTTTTTACATTTGCGTTTCTTTCGAAAGAAATCTGTCTTTTTTTTTTATACTGTTATATACCTCTGTTGTATCACGTTTGGTGGACTAATAATAACTCGCGATGTAATTTTCTTCACGCGATGTATTCGATGACGTATCTTGCATCTTTAATTTTCGACGACTCTCCATCGTTTCATGCAAAAATTATCAAAGAGAAGAAATATTATTTGCGTAAGTTTAGTTTCGTTATATATCTCGCATCGCAATTTCCTTGCTGCGATGTATACGAGGAGATATCTTGCATCTTTAATTTTCGATCTGTCTATAAAACTTACTGTTTTGTTTCAAAAAAAATATTAAAAATATTTAAAAAAATATAATATTAGCATAACGTGAACTCATTTTCTCAGATAGATTTCTCGTTAGTTTCTTATTAGTTCGATGTTTTTGACGAGATGTTTTTTTCTTCCTGTTTAATTTTCAATATGAACTCGATGTGATTTGAACGAAAAAAAAAAAGAAAAATTTTTGTTGGTTTACAAAAATATTCTAAGTTTATTATCGTTAACATTTCGTCAGAACAAAGAGGATTATGAACAAATTTGTGCACGAGATATTTTGTATTTTAAAGAAAAAATGAAATATATCTTGTGTATGAACGACATTACGTCATGAGACACCAGATAGTCCATAATGCGAAAGGATTAAATAACGTTAAATGGCTAGAAATGAAATTTATTTGCATATAATGAGGAAAATAAACGTGTCATTTAGCAGTGCTGTGTGTGATGATAAATTCATGATCATTTGTATGAAATATGTGATACCAGAAGTTGTTCTGGTTTCAATTTGATTAAATTGTTGATTAAATTGTTATTAATTTGTACATTGTAATTCTCAATTAATTCTTAAATTTCTATTTTCTAGATTTAAGAGAGAGAAAAATATATATATAAAAACATTGAAATTTTGATAAAATATCGAATGAAGTATTTTTTTAATTTTGCTGCTTTAAAAAATTTTCGAATTTTTAAGAATAAAGAAATAATAATTGTACATGTATTTTTAAAATTTTTTTTTTTAATGTTTCATGGGGCATTTTAATATCATTATATTTTACATTTATAAATGGATTATATTATTTTTTAAAAATGTTAATTAACCTCTTTTAATTTTCATAAAAATTTTGTAAAAATCAAATACAAATACTAACGTTACATTTTACAATGTAAATATAATAACAGTAAAGTATAAGAATTTTTATGTTTTTATTTTTAAACCTTTACATCATTTATTTCTTAAGTTTATTCTAATTTTAAGAAACGATGTTCCTCGTGATATAAGTTATTACATTTTATATATCGTATTAGGTAGCATATTTCGTGTTCAGAAGAAAATATAAATTTCATTACAAGAAAACAGAATAAGAGTAAAAATTATTTTATAGCAAAGTATTTTTTTTTCTTTTTATATGTTACATTACATATTCTTAGATAATAATATACTATCTATTCTTCTCGAGTATCCTCATAAATTTTATTTCCTCAGAGCTTAAACGTAAACGAAGGAAAAATAGCTTTCTTGCCACGTGTTGCTTTCTTATGTTAAAAGCGCATTTAAAGAAGAATACGTTGCCATAGAAACAAATGTTCGTATAGCAAGATTAAATAAAATATATCTTTGTCGTGTGATATTGAATGATATATTTTATTTTTATTTCTATATTTTTTTTTCCATTGTTTAAGAATGAAAAATTGTCAAGAAACTTTATTCCCTCGAGCACGATATAATATAAAGATACTGGAATTTTAAAATGTATGCAAATTTCACGATTTCTTTATTTGCATATTCCAACTCTTATAACACAAATTACAGTGCTTAATAAGTAGAAATATACATAATATAAGGAATTATACAAGTTTAATCTTTCTAAAGTTTTCATAATATTTCTTCTGTAATTCATAAGATTAATCGAAGTTGCGATATTAACTTAAATCGTTAAAGTCATCGTCACTTGAGGATCATCAATTACAATAAAAAGATTCGAGATTACTTGAAGATTACATAGAGATCGTGAATCATATCGAGATTTCTTGAAACTCTCCATAAATTGGCATTATCGTTCAATTTGAAAATCACTTAAATGATCACTTAAATGATCACTTAAATTTTTGAATTTCTCATCTGAAGATTGAGAAATATTTTCAGAATAATATTCGAATTCCAATATCGAATATTTGGAATATTGGAATATTTATTTTTTTAAATAAAAACACAACAACTATAACTAAAACTACGTAAATATACCAATCGTGTTGCAAGTTTACTCCGTAAATTCATAACGTTATCCAATATTATCCTACAGCAATATTAAGGATCATTTTGAGGTTCGACCAATATTGCCATAATGTTGGTTGAAATGGTTCACGAATTATTCACCAAGGAGTCGGTTATTCCATCCACCAAGTACGATGGATGTTTGCGAATCACTCGCGATTGTGCATAGTATTGGACGTCCCTATTGTACACGGTGTTCCATGTACACGAATCACGAATCTATTTATATTCTAAGGAGTACAATCTTGATACAATGGCGAGTGTAAACAATTACGTCTTTTAAAATAAGTTACGAAGTTCTAGAAAGGAAATTCTATTCAACAGTCTTCGTTATTTAATAACTTGAGCAAGCTTAACAACTTGTGTAAGCTTTAATTTATTTAAGCTATTTTTTTTTATTTATTTATTTAATTTATACTCGATGGGATCTAATAAAATTGATAAACGTAAACTCGAAAACGAATAAATTTTTTCTTTTTGTTTTATATTTTATTTCAATAAATTTGAAGATTTCGTTTCTGGTCACGTTTCACTTTTAAAAAATTCATACTTGAAAAGTATTTTGGAAAAAAAATTTTTTGGGCAAGATATTAATATTTGAAAGATATGAGACAAGATTCGATTTTTAAGTAAAATTTGATTCATGAAATATGGATATGATGGATGATGTTATAATACAACAGTGAAAAGAATATTATATGGATTAATGATATTATTTTGAAATCAAGCATTTAGAAATATGATTCTAAATAAGATTCAAAACACATAAAAAAAAATCACATAATAGAAAGAGATCATACGCTGTGAGCTTTATCCGTGATAGAAGGTTGTAAAATATACGTAAGAAGTTCAAACTGTTACGAGATGCAATGTAATATTCCTTGAAACCACGTCGAATCGTGCAACTTTTGTCCGTCATTCCTTTCAACATCGTGATAACTCAAAAATTCAACATTCACTTCCACGTAGATATTTAGAATAATAATATTTTCCATTTACATCTCGAACAATAATTAAAAACCATCCAATTTAAATTTTCTTCCTTAAAAATTTAACTATAATAATATTTCCAGTTTCACTTAGTTTCATCTTCCATAACATTCATACACTACTGTATTTTTTTCAACTACTTTTATAAATCAAACTCTACGTCTACTTTTAATTTTTTCACGACAACTACTCAATTCATACAATTAAAAAATAAAAAACATACGTATATACTTTGAACATTTTTTCTTTTTTTCTAGATCACAACGAATTCATCACAAATGAATCGATGATAGTTAAGAAAAAAAAGAAATCTAACAAAACTTCGAAAAATATTTAATCTCTCCTTACATACAACAACGACGACAGATAAAATCCTAGGCAACGATCCTTCCTCTCTTTCTCTCTCTCTCTCTCAACGTTGATTGGACGGGCAA